CAGACGCCACATCATAAGCAGCAGAGGAGAGCGAGGAGCCTCCCGAGGCGTTCGAAGGGAAACAAAAGCGAACCGAATTACCAAGTTATTACACGTGTATGTGTGTACATATTGCATATACATATGTGTGGGGTGCGTGCTGCGTGTGTGTGTGTTGTGTGTGTGTGTGTGTGTGGTTGTGTGTGTGTGTGTGTGTGTGTGTGTGTGTGTGTGGTGTGTGTGTGTGTGTGTGTTGTGTGTGTGTGTGTGTGTGTGTGTGTGTGTGTGTGTGTGTGTGTGAGTATGTGTGTAGTGTGTGTGTGAGTGTGTCTGAATGTGTGTGTTGTGTGTGTGTGTGTGTGTGTGTGTGTGTGTGTGTGTGTGTGTGTGTGTGGTTGTGGTGTGTGTATGAGTGTGAGTAAATGTGTGTGTATGTATTTTTGTGTGTGTTGCGTGTGTGTGAGTGTGGGTGTGAGTGAATGTGTGTGAGTGTGAGTGAATGTGTGTGCGCGTGTGTGTATTTGTGAATATATACATAAAAATTTCTCTGTCATCTATATGTTGAAACCTGTTCATTCTTCCCAAGACATTAGCAAGAAAATGTTGATTGCTCCCTAATTAACACCATCCTTGACTAAAATTTATTATTCGAACAACACTCAGAACCCCCTCCCCCCTTTTTGCCCCCCCCCCCATACGCACAAAGAATAAAAAGATTAAATGCCCTTTAGGTTTCTCACTTATATCAGTCTCCAATAGATTTACGTTCAGTCTCAGGCTAATGGGAAGAGTAAGAAATGCGTGATTATATTCTCTAACTCCTTAAGGGCATCATTTCATCTCTTTCTTATGATTATCTCCCCTACTGATTACTGATAACGACGGCCTCGAAAGCTCCAATTTCCTCGTTGTTTGAAAATTGTGGAATTACCTGATTCTTTCCCATATAGCATCTTATTTTTTATATCATATCAAAGTAAGTAATTAAAATATGCGTTGTTCGCTACCTAATCCCTGGATAAATTCACATAATAATATGATTTCCATATCCCTCCTACCTCCCTCCCCTTCCCCCTTACCCGCTCTCTACTCGACCCCCACCCCACCCCTCCCCCTCCCTCACCTAGATCAGCTTTAGGCTTCTACCGGTTAAATAAAACTTCTGATTAGCTTCACTTAATCTTAATCTTGCGTAAAAAAGAGCAGTAAATCGTGATAACACCGAAGATTTCACTACCATTGCATTTTTACGTTTACGTTTTATTATTATTATTATTATTACGTCTAATCTACCAATCTGGCGATATTCTTATCAGCATGTGTGGCAGAGTTGAACTGTGTAGCCTGATTGGTTAAAGTGCAACTTATAATGATGATGATGATAATGATGGTGATGATCATAATTATAGCAATAGTAATAGTAATAATAATAGTAGTAGTAGCAGTAGCAGTTGTAGTAGTAGTAGTAATGCCTAAAGATAATAGAAGGGATGTAATGATAATGATCATAATATTCATAAAGATACTAATAACAACAGTGATAATAATAATGATAATAATATTAATGATAATTGCAGAAATGATAATAACAATAATAATAATAATAATTAATAGTTAATAACAACATTAATAATAATAATATGATGATAATAAAATAATAATAAATAATAATAATAATAATAATAATAATAATAATAATAATAATAATAATAATAATAATAATAATAGTAATAATAATAATAATACGTAATGATAATAATTATGAAAAAGTAATAATAATAATGATAGTAGTAATGGTGATAGTGATACAGCAATGAAACAATAATAGTAATAATAATAATAATAATAATAATAATAATAATAATA